CACTCTCTAACTATCTCAGTTTGGATGATATTATTGGTCATCAAGTAGCCATTTAGGGCTATGTTGCCCTGGTGTAATTATTAAGAGCACCCCCTGTCACTCTCTAACTCTCTCAGTTTGGATGATATTAATGGTCATCAAGTAGCCCTTTAGGGCTGCTTAGGAGATTGTTAAAGCTCTGGTTAGTGGTAGAGCCATCTTCAAAATCAAGTAGCTCTGAGAACAGTACACGCATTCACGTTTGAAGACCACTCATATAAACCAGAGGATGCCTAACTTATTTCCTATTTCTTTCCTGCTAAATTTTTAAAATATTTGTTTTATACCTATTTAGTGCCACACACTGTAAGTTACCTTGACATCCATTTTCTCATTTTATCATCAGAATTGCCATGTGAGGTGTTCTTGTATTTTTTTCATTTTTTTGCAGAAAAGAAAGCTGAAAACCCAGAGAATTTAAATGACCAGTCACAGCTAAAAAGTGGCTAAATCAGAACCCACGCCCTATCTCCCTGTTTTTAAAGTCTATGCTTATCATCAAGGCTAGCCCCTGGGTTCCACCTCCTGAAACTAGGGTGGCAGTTTAGGCCTGCTTACGGCCAGACTGCCCTGTTGCCCCTATTTCCATGCAAAACACTTCCTCCCAGGCTGTCTTTCATAGTTGTCCGCACTTTCTCTTCATCTCTGTCCTGATTCTGTTCATCAGCGTCTCTTCTTTGGGTGGCTACACTATGCCAGCCCATTTGGGAGAGGTAGCCAGAGAAATATCTCCAAAATGCTAACTTCACCATGCCACTGACCTGCTTAAGCCAGTTTGCTTATGCTTCCCATAAGGATATCTTAACTTTACCAAAATTTACAACACTTTTTTTTTCCTTTAAATTTTTTATTGTTATGTTAATCACCATACATTACATCATTAGCTTTTGATGTAGTGTTCCATGATTCATTGTTTGCATGTAAGACCCAGTGCTCCATGCAGAATGTGCCCTCTTTAATACCCATCACCAGGCTAACCCATCCCCCACCCCCCTCCCCTCTAGAACCCCTTTGTTTTTCAGAGTCTATCGTCTCTCATGGTTCGTCTCCCCCTCCAGTTTCCCCCCCTTCATTCTTCCCCTCCTGCTATCTTCTTCTTTTTTTTTTTCTTAACATATATTGCATTATTAAGATTTACAACACTCTTTTTCCAATGTACGGTTCAGCCCCACTGAACTCTCTCCTTTCCTTCTCCAACCCCCATCTGCTTGTCAGTTGTTTGTTCCACACATGTGTCTACCTCCCAAACCTGTCTTCTACTCATATTTCAAATCCCAGCTTCGATCCCTAAGCAGCTTTCCCGGGCTCTGTGCGCCAGTCTCTGCCCCACTACTTTGGTGCCCATCCAGTGGTGTGCTGGAGCCAAGGGGTACAACCCCCCAAAGTCAGTTGCTTACATCCCTTCCTACTTCCAGCATTGCGTGATGTCATATTGGCCATGGAGGGACTATTTACGCCATAGAAATTGGCAAATGGTACAAATCAGGTGTTTTTTTTTTTTTTAATTGATTGGTAAACATTTAGCAGCACAATACTGTGACCCTCCTAAGTTTTCATAACACTCTGAATACTATTTATTTCTTCATTTATGCAGTGATTATCTATCCACTGCCTACTTTGTGTCAGCTACCATTGTAGTTGCTGAGGAGATAAAGGTGGGACAATCAGATAGTTCCTGCCATCATGGGGCTTACAGTGTTGAAAGGGAGAGACTGACCTTAGGCAAATATTCACATATAAAATATAAAATAATTATGTTAAAAACAAAAAAATGCTTTAATGTGTCAGAAGATATTTGACCTAGTCCAAGAAAATTTTCCTGAGCTAAAATCTGGATAATTTTGGGTTGAAGAAGGAACAAGGTGAGGGAACAGCATTCCAGGCCAAAGGAACAACATGTGCTGTGGTCAGAAAGAGTATGAACCTCAGGAGAAAGGGAAAGTGGACAAATATGGCTAGAAGGGAGCTGGGAAGCTTGGTGGGAGAGGCAGGTGCAGAGCTAAGGCCACACAGAGTTTTGAAGGCTCTCCTAAGGAGTTTCACTTTTATCCTAAGAGGAGTGCAAAGTCACTGAAGTGTTTTCAGCAGGAAGACCACCTGGTGTAGTGGAAAATCAGTACAACACGGTGGTTGAGAAATCAAGTCCGGAGCCAGGTTGCCTGGCTTGGAATGCTAACTCTGCTGCTTCCTAGTATCTTACTAGTAATTTCTCTGTGCGTCAGTTTCCTCCTGGCTTATATGGTGATAAAATAATACCTCCCCTATAGGGCTGCTTATGAGATTGTAAAGCTCTGAGAACAGTACTTGGCATATCCTAAGTGCTATGGAAGTGCTTGTTTAAATAAATAAAAACCTCTTTGATAAGATAGCTGAATGTCCTGGGTACCTAGGGGATGCAGACATAAATAATTATAACATGAAGTAAGCACAAAAGATGTGGTAATACAAAGATAAGGATGAGCTTGTTTTCCAGTGGTTATTATGAGCAGAATTGAGGGCATAAAGGATGTTCTAGTTGGAGAAAGCAACAGTAAGAGCCATGGAGATACACAAATATCACTGTACTCAGAAGCTTAAAGCCTAGTGTAGGAAACAGATGTGAAAGAAAACCAATGGGGGAAAATATATTGTAGAAGTACAAGTAAGGAGTGATTAACTTTAACTCCAAAGCAAATGGGCGGTTCCATGGAGGAGGGCCCAGCATCATGGTTGACCGCATGGGCTCTGGAATCAGGCTGGCTCAGTTTAGAATGTGAACTTTGCACCTTACTAGTTATGTGATTTGACTTCTCTAATCCTCAACGTCCTGCTCAGTAAAGTGGGAATATTAATAATAATAATAATAATAATAATAATACCTAGCTCATAGGGTTGATAAAAATTCAGTTAATGCATGAAAAGTCTTAGTTAGCATAGAGCACTCAATAAATATTAAGGTATTATTACTATTACATTATGAGATGAACTTTGAATGAGAAGGACTTTGATCAGCACTGAAAGAATAACATGAGAAAAGGCCCAGAAGCTTAAAAGTATCTGACACATTTAAAGAACAGCAAGTCAGTGCCACTTAAAGTGTGATCATCATTGCCAATCTGTGAACTGTTCTTACTGGTCCACAATGAGATAAATATAGATATTGAGAGTAAACATTTAGAAGTTAGAAGAAAACAAAGACAAACTGACGGAGTAATTTTGTACTTGTATACTTGTTGTACACTCATAATGAACACTGGGGCTTGTAGTTTTTGTGCTTTGTTTCTACTTTTTCTAGCAAGTTTTTAAAGATTGATTGATCGATTTGAGAGAACGCGAGCAAGCCAGGGTTGGGGCGGGGGAGTGGCAGAGGGAGAGGGAGAGAGAGAGAATCCTCAAGCAGACTCCCTGCTGAGCGGGGTGCCCACGTTGGGGGGCAGATTCTCATGACCCTGAGATCATGACCTGAGCCAGAATCAAGAGTCTGCCCACTTAACCCACTGAGCCACCCAGGTGCCCTTGTAGCAAGTTTTTAATTGTATCTTACAAAAGTAATAGTCCATGACTGATTGGAAGTAATAAAAACTTGTCTTTTGCTCCAGATAGTTTGAGAAAAAAGTATTTCAGTGAGGTTGGATATAGCACCACAGAGATGAACCTGCAAGAGTGGGCCCGGATCACACTGTAAGGAAGTTCTAGAAAACTTGAATGTCTCAAAATTCATACTTTATTCCGTGGGTAACAGGGTTAATAAAAGTTTACAGAGATTATTAACTGAGTATATAGGTAAATGGACATTGCACACTTTACACTTTTTTCCCCCCAGTGAGCATGTGGTTTTTCTCTCTTTTTTTAATTAAAAGATTTTTTTTTTTCTGGTTAAGAGGGGAGACTTGAATTGCTCCGTGTTTCACAAAGATAACTGTTTGTATTTGATGAGTGTGGTTAAACAAAGAAATTCAAATTTATCAAAACATAAAACGTTGGAAATACTTGAGCACACACTCTGTGACCAGGAATGCATGTAACTTGTTGAGATGAGCTACACCAGGTGATCAGATGAGTGTCTTTTGTTCTTGGGCACTCTCCTACAAATAATGCATAAACTGATAGAATGGACTCTTCTGATCTCCCAGCTTGGTTCATCTCCCCCACGACCATCCCCACCACCTCTCTAGCAATCCTGCACTGGGCCAAATGGGAGAATAACGTTGTTTTTGTTTGTTTTGTTTTTTAAGATTTTATTTATTTGCCAGAGAGAGAGCGGGCGAGAGAGCGAGCGAGCACAAGCAGGGGGAGCGGCAGGCAGAGGGAGAAGCAGACTCCCTGCTGAGCAGGGAGAGGAGGATGCGGGCTCCATCCCAGGACCCTGGGATCATGACCTGAGCCGAAGGCAGCCGCTTAGCCGACCGAGCCACCCAGGCCTCTGGAGAATAACGGTTTAATAATCAGCGTCTGACAGCAACGCCTTCGTTTGCCAGGCTCGGAGACAGGCCCTAACCTGTCGCGTTCTCCTTTCAGCCTCACAGCCCCGTGCTTCCCTACCTGCACAGCCACTCATTAAATAAAGCACACCTCACCTCTGCCAAGTCTTTCGCCTTACCTGAGGCTACACACTTTCGGGAACACGCTGTGGCCCAGAACCCCAGGCCCTGGAGACCGCCAGGGTCTGAGGGCAACTCCTGAGTCTCTTCGTCCCTCTATAAACAAGCAAAGGCTATAGGGTCCCAGGGCCCAGCTTGAAACTCCCAATTTTCCGACGGGCGCCAGAACTCAGAAGGTGAGGAGCCATCTGATCGACCTACGGCCCTCGGGTCGCCTGAGCCCCAGGGGCCCCCTGGCGTTCTGGAGGTGGAGTCCCGGCCCCCCCGCCCCGGCGCCCGTGCCCTCCGCCCCCCCCCCCCCCCCCCCCCCCCCCGCCTGGCCTTTCCGCCCGCGGCGCAGTGGGGGCAGGGCCGCAGTCACCCGACGGCGCAGAGAGCTCCGGGTGTGGCCGCCACCACCTGAAAGCTGGGCCGCGAGTGTGGCCCCGGGTACAGCCGCCGCCCCCGAGCGGCCCCACAGGTGCGTTCCGCCGCGGCCCGCCGTGCTCGCGGGCGGGGGGGGGCGGAGGCTCGGGCTCTTCCCGCGGGCGGGCTGAGCGGGTGCCGGCCCCGGGGATGGCCTTCTAAGTAGCTCATGCGTGGGAGCGACTGACGGACGGGGCTGGGAGGCCACGGGAGACGGGCGGGCCGTGCGGCTTCCGTGACGGGGGAGGACCGGGCCCAGAGACGGGAAGCCGAGCGCCGGCGTCGGCAGGGCGCCGGATGCTGCGGAACCGCAGCGAGCGCGGCCGTGGCGGCGCCTTGCCCAGAGCGGCTCCCGCCAGCCCTTCGGGTCGGGGCCCAGCCCCAGGCCGCGCGGGGCTGCCCTCCCCGCATCTGGGACGGGCTCCCCGCTCCCCTAGGCCTCCAGGGCGCTTTCTCCGAGCTCCTTTGAGGTGCTTTTCCGCCTTTTACCTTGTGCTTTCGCTTTTGGTGTGCACGCCTAGGCTCCTCCGCTCAGACTCCCAAGTTCCGCGAGGGCAGAGCCTGGCTTGTGGGGGCCTCGGGGGTACTCCCTCAGCAACTGAAGGGATGAGCCGGTGCCCATGAAATAGAACTGACGAGTTAACTCTTGAGTAAGTGAATGACTGCCCATGAAGGAATGCAGATACGGAGTGGAGGCAGTGGAGACACAGGCTTACAGGCTCATCTCCCGGGGGTGGATAGTTTTCCCGAAAAATCGTGCTAATGTTGCACTCTTGTAGACCGAGCCATTCACTTCAAAAGAGCTTTATTTTATGCTGTTTTTAAAGAGAAGCACCAGAAGCGTCCCCTCCTATTTCCAGTTTGGGTAGATTTCTGTAAATGTGTTGCTTAAAATATGCCTAGGCTTTTTCTTGCTTGTGTTTTGTATTCTGCTGCGGACTTTTGAAGAATCATTGCCACTATAGTATTTACTGTGTTTCTGAAAGATAAGGGTGAATCTAAAGGTAGAAACGCATGACTCTGCTTTTAGTAACTTTTTGTAAAATCAGACATTTCTCTTGAATTCAAGTTTGTGAAGAATCTTGTTTTCCTGAGATAGGTACTAGCTGGTTTGTGAGTAACTGAAGCAGGCTGAATGTAGTCCAGAGAGGAAAATGAGAGACATTTATCTGTGCGGATGCTTTGGAAGTAACATAGGCTGAGACTGCTTTAATACCACATCAGCTCTATAGGTTCCCAGACCTGAGTTCCAGAAAAGCCAGATGACTTTGGACTTGTCGTTTGATCTTTTTAGGTCTCAGTTTCTTAATCCCCCCAGATGAGGGAGGGTTGGTGAGGCCCCTTCCTGAGTTAGACTTCTAGGATTCTCTTTCATCAGGGGTTAAAGGTGAGATGTAGATGACTTCATGGAATTCTGCTCACTTCAGCCTATCTGTTTGGGATTCTGTAGAATCTTGGCCCTACTTTCTTTTTTGCAAATTACAGCTCATTCCTTATTCTTCTCCACATCTCTTACAAAAGGATCTGGGAGCTCAAGAAGAGAATAATAGACTCCAGGCTGGTGGGGAGAAGGAGAGGCAAGATTTTACTCCACATTGCCAGAGGCTCCTGGGCCTGGGTCTAACCTGTTTCCAATGCAGCCCAGCCTGACAGTGCCATATATCTCCAGTGTGTCTGGGGAATTGTATCACTATTAATTTGCATGCATTTGAAATTAGTTATTATAGATCACAACATTTTGGAGCTGGAAGGGCCTTAGAGATTTTTTTAATGGCACTTAAAAAGTCATTTTACAAACATATTAAAATATTTTTTGCATGCTACATTTAACAAACACAAAGTCCCAAACGTGTTAAGTAAAATAAAATTAATGTTACCTACTTCAGTTGCTTTAAGTCTATTGGGAGAAGTGGGGCCAAAAGTGGTACTTGGTGAAAAAGACCAACTTTCTTGAACTCTTTTCCCAAAGAGCCATTTATGAGGTCATGTGTTGTTCAGGCATGGAATGTAACAAAAGTTGATATTTATGGGGCACTGATCATGCAGCAAGCACTGTTATATTTAATCTTTTTACTTATATTGCCCCATTTAATTCTTACTATAAACCTAAGAGCTAGGTACTATTGCGATCCCCATTCAACCTTCCTAAATAGAAACTGCTTGGAAAATGGGAAAGTCAAGTACTCAAAATATAGACAGTTGGAGGCAGGGTTTCCCCAGAAACATAGGTAATCTCTGCTAGGAGAGCCTGTGTGATGTTACATAATGAGATGTGTGTTCTGGGATAGGTATACATAACTCTGGGGCATTGTGGGTAAATGAATTTAGGATGGGAGCTTAGGGGTGGAATGATTAAGACTGAATTATACAGAACTGGTTGTTATATCCTTTTGAAAATTATTGAATTCCATTGGGACTCTGGTAGACTCTGATACTTTGACCTAAATGCACATGCATCCTAATTTTAAACATCTTCAGACTTAACCAATTTAGGGAGTGTAAAAAGGGTGACATCAAGAGCTAGTGTCAGCTTAAGAGCTTTGAACTGTGAGTACAGAGCTTTATTATTTCCTGGGCTAACTTTGTGTCCTTGTGAAGGCTTTGCCTCCCAGCCTCCTTTATAAGAACAACAACTCCTATTGCAGAAAAAGTATAAAGACTACATCCCTGTAATCCAGGGACAAGACTGCAGGACCCTTGTAAGTAATTGATGAGAGCAAAAGAGGAGAAGAGGGGCCTGTAAAATAAGTGGAAAATTATTTTGTTTTTTCTTTGTCAGTCAGGTTTAGCTGCACCCAAGGCAGAGACCTATCGTGGCTGCTTGAAAAACTGAGAGCAGATGCCAGTTTGATTTAGCTCAGGAGGCTGAAAGTTTCTGCCCTGAAGGCTGGTGTGATAGAATAGACCTTCCTATTGCTCACAATATTATGGAAAAAACATTAAAGCAACAATTTTTATTACTTGCCCTGGAGCTAGAGCTTTAAAATGTACTTTCTTCTCCCCCTACTCTCCCTAAACCACTTAGCTTTTAAAAACAAACAACCCATTCTTGTGTTTGCCTCAGTCAGATTATTAGTCCTTTCTCTTTATTCCTGGGCCGTTTCTTTCTCTTTTTTTTTTTTTTTAATTTTTTTAATTTATTTGACACAAAGAGAGAGACAGTGAGAGAGGGAACACAAGCAGGGGGAGTGGGAGAGGGAGAAGCAGGCTTCTGGCAGAGCAGGGAGCCCGACGCAGGGGCTCGATCCCAGGACCCGGAGATCATGACCTGAGCCAAAGGCAGACGCTTAACGACTGAGCCACCCAGGCGCCCCCTGGGCCCCGTTTCTTTAATGCAGCAAAGAAGTAGGACCAGTGTGCTTCTAGGTCTCTGGAATTTTTCTTTAGTTATGATTTTATTTAGCACATGTTATTTTCAGTGGCCATTTATTGAGTGTGTACTATGCACCAGATTAAGATGAACGAGATACTGAGTTTAAGTAGGAAGTGACCATTCCACAAATAATTGCACCACAGGGTGATGTTAAAGTGGGGGCATTCATTTTCCTAGCAAAGAGATATGATTAGAGCTGGGGAAGACTTCAGAGGGCAGGTGAGTTTTGAACTTGATTTTGAAGCCTGAGGGCCACGAGGTAGGAGAAGGGCATTCCAAGCAGAGAGAACAACACTGGCAAGGCCTGGTTGGCAAGGCCTAGGAGGCGGTGAGGATGAACGTGGCCCTCCCAGAGGGAGAGATGGGAGTTCTGTGTGGCCGCAGTAGAGAAGTCTTGTGAGAGTGGGCCATGTTATCTAGACCTTTTCACGCCATGGATAATCTGTTTCAGAGTTTTTTTTAAGCAGAATTCATCAGAGGCGTTTTATGATTGGATTTTCTTTAGAAAATAGCTCCAGCGATAATGCTTTGGAGGAACTGGCGATGGAAAAGCCAGGCAGCGGGAAGACCACGAGGATGACGTTGCTATAGCCCAGATGAAATAGGGTAAGGGTCCAAACTAACACAGGTTTGAAAGATATTCGGGAAGTAGAGATTTAATGACCAGCTGGATATGGGAAATCAGGTCAAAAATAATTCTGAGGTTTGAGATTTGCTTGGCTGGGAGAATGGAGATGCCACTAAAGAGACTAATACATATAAGGTGAGGAGGAGGTTTCAGGAGAAAGACAGTGAGTAGAGGCAACTGTGGAACATCCAGGGGAGACTCCTAGTCTATAGCCTGGACTGTAGCTGCGCTAGCACATCATAGAGTCGACACCTGCCGAACGTTACCGCTGGTCCTCAGTCTGAAAAGAAAAATCAGTTCAGTAACTCTCTTAAAAAGAAGGGGGGAAAAATAACCACATTGGACTTGGCTAATGACCATTGCGTCATATTTCATGTGTTTGTTAGAACTCCAATTCTTATGTAAGTTCCGGTGAAGGAAAAGAAGTTGGACACTCAAAGCATGAGGGATTACTATAAGCCACCCAAAGAAACCGAAATAGAGCGACATAGACAGGAGTGGTTCAAAGGAACAAAGATAAGCAAATGGCAGGAGTGTAGAGGAGGACTGACCACTGTCGACACAGGTGTAGGCAGACTTGGAATATAGAGAAGAAATTTGAGCTGGCTCTTCCAAATGACTGTACTTCTTTAATGGTAAGAACATCACAAGCTTTGGGTTTCTTCTCTTAATTCAACTTGTCAGGAAGAGACAAATAGGAGATTGTTCAGAGGTGCTGGGCAAAGGGTTTGATCTTACTTTGCAGAGAAAGTGTTGGGAGACTTTGAACTAAGGGAAGAATGAAAGAGGTAGAGTAAGATAAAATGAAAAGGGTAATGATTAGGAGGAACTCTCAGAACATTTAATGAGTTCTATGACAAATAGTTGCTAACAAAGAACAAGGGAGATTGATATAGCATTCTCTTAGTGTTGTGGCATTAGACTTGCTTGGAAAAAAGAATATATTAGCATGGCACCTTATATTTAAGAAGAATTTTTATATTTGATTGTTATATGAACCCTCAAAAGTGGGTGCAGCAAGGCACTATTACCTTTCTTTTATAAACTGAAAATC